CCTCGGTGGGAGGTAGATCAGAACCGACGAGTATGCCAGAGAGAAGGTCACGGCTAAGAGAAACGTTCCTAAAACCGAGGCACCCCAACCGACGTCGGGGTGAGCCTCCGTCACACACACAGCAGGCCGCTTCCCGCGGGTCAAGTGACACTTTGAATGAGGCGGAATTTGGGAGGGAACGACGAAGCCACCACTCACATTATCAAGAACGCGCCCCAACGAACCCCAAGGTGCTCCGTGGGCCCCGGCAACAGGATCCTTGACACTCAGCTGTGCGTCCAAAGTAGCACTTGATGTGGCTCCCAGGAGCAAACTGGGAGCTGTGGACGGTGCATGCTGGGAGCTGGCTGCTGTCCTGAAGATGCCTCCTGTGGAGAGGGAGGGGTCACCCGCGTGACACGGGCCGCGGATGGCCACCTTCGTGAGTTGACGTTGAAACTCCGTAAAGGTCAAGTGCAAGATGGTGGAGGAGGGTCCTGTTACCATAGAGCACACATGCGTATGTGCACGCGTACGTGCTTGTGAACAGTGGAGAGCCAGCGGGCACAGCATTTTCTGGGACTCGACAGTGACCGTCAGCTGGCGTGGGCACGCTGTGGCCTCACGGAATTTCCTTGAAGTTCTTCCCGCTCTAAGCATTTCCTGCAGACCAGGAGCCGCGGGGCCCGTCGGCTCGTCTTCCAGCTGCTCGACTTAGAACAGATAGGAGCCACACCCCAAATGTTTAAACTAAATGGGGGGAATGACGTGATCTATCAAGCCCTGACGTAGTTTCCGGGGGACCCTGCATTTGCCTGGATTTTCCAGGTGTTTATGGCCGAGGGACCCGAGTGATCGGTGTCCGTACCGGAAGAGCCCCTTCCTGCCCCAGAGGACGGACACTTGGACTCCTGTGGGACAGACTGCAGCACGCCCCTTGAGGGGACACCGGGCTGTGATCCACAAGGGTGAGGGCGGTTCAGAGGCTCCATGCACGAGGCCTGGGCGACCGAGAATGTTGGAGATGTGACACCACGTGGCCCAGCCGCGCTGCTGTCCACAGAGGTCAGGGAGCAGCTGCCGCAGAAGGAACCGGAGTTTACGCACACGGAGCGGCATCTGAGAAGAAGCAAGAAGAGGAGACACTGGCATTTTCCCCAGAAACGTCCCCTAGAAGAACGCGCCCCAGCGAACCCCAGGGTGCTCCGTGGGCCCCGGCGACAGGATCCTTGACACTCAGCTGTTTTGCCGCGCGCAGCGGCCGGCGTGAGTTCCCGGATGCTGATAATCCGGAAACTCCAGGCTGAGGGTTTGTTCGTAAACGTCGATGCAGGGAAATCGTGGGTTAATGTTTGGCCCATCTTATCTGTGGATGAGTATTTCGCACCTCGCTAGTGTTTGATCCTCAGAAGGTCCGCTTGATGCGTATGGTCAACATCCTGATCCCACTTGTTTACAAAGGCGCCTTCCTAATGCCGGGCCTACGGGATGGCTCTGTCTGTCGGCAGCGACCACAGAGAGCGATTTCATGCGATCTCATTGGTACCATTGTGTTTTCTACTCTCGTCTCAAAAAGTGCTCTCCATTCTCCATCCCGGTCCCTGTCGGTGACATGACAGGCGGTTTAGAAACCCAGCAACCATCCCCTCCATCAAAAGTCTACAGGTGTGATGTAACGCCTGTCGCCTGTCATGTTAAGGAACGGGACAGGTGGGAAAGTTAAGCTGAAATGTGGATAGTGGGTATTTTCGTATGTGAGGTGGGCAGT